CGCACAAGTATGGATAAAGCAGATTTGCTGAAAACTTCTTTGCAGCAGACCAGAACCGTTGACAGCCCGGAAGACCCAGTCCACGGGCGGCCACATCGACCGGTCCTCTACACCGTCAGTCGCACGGAGTGGGTGATGGACTTCAGTACGTCTTTGTGTAGGCGGGAATTTTGAAATAGAATAAAACTGGCCATTAAAATTCGGAATACGATTTTCTCAAAATTCAAAATTTACGGAAATTTTGCATCTCTCGATTACAATATTATTAATGTCACTACAGTACTAACAACAAATATGGCAACGGTGCTTCGGACATAAGAGTACTCGAACACAGATGAAACGAACGGAAAGTAATAATCGGTTTTCTGCAGTTGGTAGCAGCCTGAAGAATCACAAGTGACAAGTGACGTATGCTCAATGTAAAAACTCGACATAAGATTCATTAATTGACTACTTATCTTGTTGAAAAACGAGCGAGCAACAACCAGATGAAGGGCTGCATAATTTCTACAAGTTTCGCCGAAACACACAAACACAAGACAAGGTTTAAAAAGTACTTTCTCTCCTCTCCGCTGAATCGACTGTTTCTGCACCGGAAACTGACTTTGCATTACAAACTGCTCAACAATAAATGTAATGCACAAAACATTATGGCGAAACAACTACACAGTCAGTACGTCACAAAATAATTTGGTTTTCGATCCCAGAAGTTGTGGCAAAATGGCCGACCCTACGCGTGGCACCGACGCACCTTTCAATCGAATCACTTTCACTTTCTCCTCTCTGAATCAAAGCAACAACAAAATGAGCAGACGAACTCAGCGGAGCACAAAAACGCACGACACGAGGAGCATGTAGGCTACCAGCCTGACGTCTCCGCCCCACAGAAGAGAAACTGACTGGCGGCTAATAGTTTTAATCACCACCGTCATATGGCGTCTACCCTCCTACCAGCCAATGACTGCGCTAAATCGAAGTCTCCCAGGGGCCGGGGGGCTTAACCGGATCTGTGCCATTGGAAGGAACGAGTAACCGAAATACGACAGAGGAGGTGATGACACGCAAACAAGGAGCATGGACGAACGTGAAGAAGCCCCAGCCAGTCCTTCAAAATCACGTGACAACCAAGAATTTACGAGTGGGAGTTAAGGACGCAACAGTATTAGCGAAATCACTCAGCAACACGACCTTCTTCAGGGCGGCTCCATAATCACCGGGTCCAATGACGACCCATACCGTCAGAATCTCACATCTGCAGAATTTCATCATACACATGCACTCATTCCCCTGGTGATGGAGGCAGCAGGGACCTCCGAAACGTCGGTAAACTTCTACCAGACTACACCACCATCTTCGTACTCGCCGCCGTGAAAACCTCGGATCCTACAAGAACAGGGGAAACAGACGTGTCAGGAAGGCGCAGGCCGTGGCCCGAACCAACTGAGAGCGCTCACGTCCAAGTCAGAAGCCGCTCTCTGGAAAATAAATGCCGAAACGTTGCAGCGGAAATATCAAATGTGACAATTTGGACCTCCTCTGTTGAGATGGCCAACATCGAGTGACTCCGTGGAGTAGTGAACCTACGAGCACGCTCAGCTAGTTTAAAAAAAAATCCCCGCCTTTTATGGAACTCGAAGGTTCGTTTATGTCCACCGGCCTAGATCCCGAGCAGCACCAATTCAAGCAAAACCTTTTCCCTTAAAATATATTTTAATATTATCCTCCCTTCAGTGTTCCCAGCTCTCCATGCCCCGTCCACCTCACCCTCTTTCATTGGTCATCCTAACATCTGGTGGAGGGTGCCTCATTTCGAAAATGTCTCCACCCTCCCGTCGCAGGTCAAAATTTCTCCTCGGCACCCTCAAGCGGAAAAAGGTCTCTTATATACGCTCGACAGATCACAGGTGAAGAAGGCGCTACTGAAAACGCAGTCCTACAAAACGAAAAGACATGTGTTAGTGCCTCAGTTCCTCGCGGCTCGCGCAATACACTCCCTTTAAAGGGCATAAAATCGAAACTAGTTGCGCCATTAGAAAGGCCACGGCTGCACTCCGAGCGGATAAGCTGCCAGCAACCACACGGACTTACGTAACACAACGAGATCGGGCGTCAGGAGAAAGTAAATCGAACGTTTGTAACCTCACGCAGTGACCCCTTAGTCAGGGGTGTGACAAATATACTGGCAATCATCCATTTCAATGTGGAAATAGTCTCAAGATTCTTTTCGTATCCACAAGAACAAGAATGTCATTAATTCTAACATGTCACACGTGGGATAAATGATTTAGTTCAAAATGGGGATGTCTCGATACGGCCAGGACGTTTCAATTTAACCCCTTAAAGACCAGCCAGACAGAAAAGCTGTATTTTGCCCACAGAGCGCTTTCATAAGTTTCGCGTGACTACAGAATGAACAGCGACTGTTTCCTTAAACAGCTGATATTTGTAATGGTGACGGGTGGGTTTTCTTCGCGGTACGGGCTGAATTCCTAAATGTTATTCTGATGAGGTTCGGCTGCGAGAGACAGACGCGTAAGAAGATACTTTCGAAAAATGGTTCTGAAACTGCGAACTCCATGTCGGGGCATCAGTGAGTTCCACAAAAATAATAGCGCACTCGTTCCGCGAACTTCCGAAGCCTTTCGGCAAACTGCCCGCTCTCCTTCGCATACTTTGTTCCGAAACCAATAAGTGACTTAAGCACGCGCGTTTGTGAAGTCAAGAGGCAGACATTGCTAAGTCAGTGTCCGTTAGCGCTGGCTCCGAGTTGGCCTCAATTTGTATATGAACCCAGAACCTTTACGTTCAATGCCGTACACGACTCCTTTGTATGCTTGGAAAGCACAGCGGAATGCCAGTTACCTTCCCCGTTTCAGCTCACGACATGATTATAAACACTTTCTATACGCGTCCAATCTACTTTACCACTTCGGACTTTTTCTGCGTGATCTCGGCGGCTGCTCTCGATCATGACGCCGCGAGGCCCTGAACGTTTCTCTGAAACGTCGGTATCTACTAAAAGTCTGCACGGCGCCATGATCCATGAAAAATCGTCAACAATTTTCCTGTTTCCGGTATCCAAACAACGTTTTGAAAACTACAAGTCCAATCTGAAACAAGGCAGTGTGCAATGGTCGGACTCGTATACGGGAGTGTCTTGTTCGAGTCTCGGCGAAGGTTTCCGTCAGGCTAATTCCTGGACAGTATCCGTGTTCACCGTACATTCGGCTGCACCCTTCGGTCACAATATCTTAACTCACTGACGGTCGTTAAATAATATAGAAATACAGGACCAATAGGTCCAGTGGGTGAAATGTATCGCTATTATTATAATCGTTCTTATTACTACCAACATGACAGTGGCAACTTCCCTACATTCGAAATATACCACCAGTTGCATAACTCGTCACCATGACCACATTTTCGCGGTTTTCGTGTGCCCAAACGAACGCCAAGCCAACCAGACCTTCGAGCTTGTATCTCCCACGTCAATGACCGTCATAACGTCCCATTCGACTGTAATAAACTTAAGATGCAAAGTGTCGTTAAGTCAGTTACGAGCGTTACCATAAAGCGAGATTTACTGTAACTGGCTGACAGCGAGAGACGTGTCAACACCATTATCAGAGTTCTCGAAGGACGAAACTTTATAAACTGCAAGGCAGTGACGAAGATAGGATGTTTCAGAGCTACCAACATTCCAGAGACTGGATTCCCGATATACCAGATCCCAAAACGCACTTAAAAATTTCTTTCGTTGGCGTGTAAGGTATTTTCG